GCTGCTATGTCACTGGGCTGCTGGAATTTCACCAAAATTACAATTGATTTGTTTGCAAGAGCAGCTTTATAAATGGTCAGGCTGCAAAGTAAAAGCAAAAATTTGTGCAACAATCGTGCAAAATTTATTGCCACAATCTGTCTTAATATAATCTGAATTTGCACAATTTGCACAATTTCTCGTGTGTCATGAAGTGTGTTCTAGATGCCCACGATGAGTCTCTGCCTGTTTTCTTACAAAGTTGAAAATTCCAGAGACACGAGAGCGAGGCACAATGACCGGGAAACCGAGAACCCCTGTGAAAGGCTTCAGACGTTGCAGTTTGCTGCCAACAGTTGCAGCCCAGCCTGGTTTTTAACCCAAATTTTATTTGTAGGTAATTTATTTTTAATATTATGCAGCTGTAATTCTTGCACTTCTTTCACTACAAACTTCCATACTAGCTTCCACCCAGGTTACAGAATTGATCTTTCTACCAGAGATTCCTGAACAGTGGTGCCTCCAAGGGGTGGCCGGGCAGGGGAGCATAGCCATCTCTAGAAAGTTGTTGGCCACCCCAGAGATGACTCACCCACCCCTTAATATATTACATCCATGTTCACACAATCTCTTTAATAAAGACATTAGAAATATAGTAAATAATTGATACAATATTAAAATGTTTGTCATTTAAATTTGGTAATGCTTCCTTTTACAGTCCCCCAATTACTAAGTACTTAAATGGTAATTACATACATAGTAAGTTAAAATGTATTGTTTTTTTTTTAATTTCTTAAACAGTTATTACCATGTAACTTAGGTTCAACTCTAGTTTTTATCTTTGTGAATCATTCCCAGTAAATACTGCTTTACACAATAATTACATTTTATTCCAATTATACACTTTAATTACACAATAATACACTCTAACTTACTATGTAATTACCATGCAAGTATTTAGTAATTAGGGAACTGTAAAGGGAAGCGTTACCTTAAATTTTTCTGTGACTGCCACCAGAACAGCACAGGACAATATCCAATTTTGGTCCTTGAGGGCCATAATTCATTCATTCATTCATTCATTCATTCATTCATTCATTCATTCATTCATTCATTCATTCATTCATTCATTCATTCATTCATTCATTCATTCATTCATTCATTCATTCATTCATTCATTCATTCATTCGCTCCAACTCACCTGATGTTAACCAGCAGGTGATTAATGTGCTTCTAAAGAGCTTAACGACCGGCTGATCAGGCAATTCAACAGTAGAATCAGGTGTGCTGGAGCAGAGAAACTAAGATTCAGAAAGAGAAAGTACTTCGGATTCAGTACAATTAAAACTGGAGAGAGCGCACGAATGAATAACTGTTAACACGAGACAAACTGTGCAAATGAGAAAGCAGCAGGGATGCAAAAACTGTTTACTGGTTATTCTGGGAGCAGTGATGCTAAAAGAGTCAAACAGCTGCAGGGAGGAAGGAAAAAACATTCATGCACCTCGAATGATGGACACTGCTGGCATTAGGAGAATATATGAAGTGGGAGGACCCGACCCCGGATGAGCGCTCCTCTGTTCCCCACATGTGGACAAGAGTCGGATCTCAAAGAGTGTGTGAAGACAGCTGGAGAATTCCCATGAGCCCGGCCTAATTGAAAGCTTATCATCTTCTCTTTGTGCTTCCTGCGTAGCGGCGGATAGGAGCTGTGTGTGTGTGTGTGTGTGTGTGTGTGTGTGTGTGTGTGTGTGTGTGTGTGTGTGTGTGTGTGTGTGTGTGTGTGTGTGTGTGTGTGTGTGTGTGTGTGTGTGTGTGTGTGTGTGTGTGTGTGTGTGTGTGTGTGTGTGTGTGTGTGTGTGTGTGTGTGTGTGTGTGTGTGTGTGTGTGTGTGTGTGTGTGTGTGTGTGTGTGTACTTTGAGTATGAATTTATCTGAGTGCAGTGTGCATCCTGGAGCTTTGTTGTTCTTCCATTGCTGCCCCCATAGAAGCCCTGACGCAGACACGCTAGGCCAAAGAAAGGAGGGAGGAAATAAAGAGATGAGGAAAAAGGATAAAATGACAAAAAGGATACAAACTGCGAGTAAAAGAGTGAAAAACTGATGAGAATCAAAGCACCCAGAGGGCTTTTTACGACACACCAACAGGTGTCATAGTTTTGGGAGTGAGGAACTGTGGCCACATCTGAAACCAGACCACCCCCACAAGGTAGCATCTCAAGTGTTTAATCTTGTGGTTCGGCTTCAAATGGTCCAAACAGATGCCATCCTCTTGGCATGAATTAACAACTTCATAGCTTCTGGAAAAGCCAGCCGACATTCCAAACTTCTCCCATATTGTTTTTAACAAGTGACAACTTGCAGACGTGTGCGAACACGGACGCTGCCAGGGCGGCGTTCCGGGCGCCATGGCGTTGACAGCCGGGAGCTGAGAAACTGCCAGGGAGAGTCTCACTAATTTCAGAGGAGGAGGTCATTATTAGGAGTTATTAGGAGCTAAATGCCAACGAGCTGCTGTGGTTTGGGGATGGAGACGTGACATTTGTGGTGTTTTCCTTACGAGGTTAATATGACAGAAAATGTTAGATCAGAATGTTCTGCTATGAAATTAGGTCCTGTAAATGTTACGAGACTTTCATTCCTCCGGTTAATTTCTCAACAGATTCATGGGATGAATCATCTGTGTTTAACACTTTCTTTTATTGCTGACGTCTCCCTTTATTGCTAACCTAATGTGACCTGCCGGGCAGAACTGAGTCCTGATGCATTTTAGAAATGGAGAACATGTAAAAGCATGAGGATGAATCTAATAAATTTGTCTTGTGATTAAAAATCAAAAACAAAAACGGCATGAGTTGTTCAGCTGAGGACCATTTTTAACTTGTTTTAATATAACCTAGTAAACATGAGCTGGCAGTTCTGTCTAAATGTCAACTGCAAAAAATCAAGATCTGATTGGATTTTGTTCGGAGATAAAACTTTTAAATATCGTCAAATAAAATATCAAGATGTATTAAAGAGCATGTGACTGAAAAGGAGCACGCACAAAGTTCTATTTAAAAGAAATACTCACAATTGTTCGTACCTAATAAGAATAAAAGCCAAAACGGTTCACCAAAAAAACCCTCAAATTCCAAAAAATGAATGGCAGAAGTTTGAATTTTTGCAAGGGAGTTGGATAATGGTTTAATTTTAGTTATTTGCAAACAATTTTTATTCAAATCTGATCCTTTAGAAGTATCTTGTGTCCATGATTAATTTCATTGTTTTCTCATCATAGCTGCCCACGGGTGGGTCTAGGAGGGGTCTAGAGTGGGCCAGTGCCACCCTGCTTGGACCCCCTTGTGACCCCCCTGTGGAGGACAGAGCATCAGCAGTAATAAGTACTGAATTTCCTGTGATAATTTAGTTGAATGTAAAATTTTGAACCAGAGCACGTGAATTAATTTATCTGAAAGTGAAAAGAGTTTTTGAGAACTCCTGAAGATAAAAGTCAACAGTTTCTGAAGATTAAACTTTGTTTTGGGTTCTAGGTGTTATTTAAAGTGCAGGTTGCATTAGAAAGACATGGTTCTTCACAACTGTGGAGATTAAACTCCCTGCTAGCTACACGGGCGGACTGAGTATTAGTGTTTACAGTCCAGTGGAGGAAGGACCTGGACTCGAGACTTCCTGGAAGAGGAGGAGCAAGAAAAAGATTAAGCACAACTGGCCCCATCCAGACATTTGTGATCGCTAAGCACAGTTGAAGAGAAGAAGCAACCGAAACAGGAAATGCATATGCGATACCTAAAATATAGCATAGTTAACTCATTCACTGCCAATGACAACTAAAGTCGTCATTTGCATTTTTTTTTACTGTGTGAGCATCGGAACGAGCCCCCGCGCTGAGAGAACAAACATCTCAGCCCTGAAGCCGATCTTCATCCGCATACGTCACAGATCACATGATCAGGAAGCAACACATCCATGTGTTTGGAGATCGTTTTGGGCCGTTCCTGTAAAAAAAGTGAGGCGCGAACCAGAAAAGCATCTGCCGATCACAATTCGACAACGGAGTATGAAAGAACGGACAACGCTCAAAACACGCGGCTTCTTCCTGATGTAAGAGGGGAGTCTCCTCTTTGTTTTGGTTGTTTTGGCATCGACATCATGCTAGCACGCAACGTTCTGTGACTCTTAAAAAAACAGTAAAAATGGTGAGAAACGCTGGCAGCGAAGGCCGTTAGTGATCAGGAAACGGCTGGCAGTGAATGAGTTAAAAACTTCAAATGTTGAATTATGCAAGATGTAGGAGCTTTAACTTCACAAGCATACACATTAAAATGTGATTAATTCAAAACTTTATTTAGACATGCAACATTTTTATTTAACTATTGGGTGTGTTGTTTGGATTTTACAAATATAATTTCGGTGACCTCACAACCTCAGCACAGATAAGATGGTGGGGGCCCTCTTGGGGGCACTCACTGACCCCAGGTTGGGAACCACTGGTTTCGAGCCACCCCTGTAACTGATGTAAAACAGTAATAAATCAGATAGTCTAAAATATTGCTAATAATTTCAGTTTTAAAACTGATATGAGTGCTTACTTTTAGTATATGCTGCTAATTTATTTAATTTCTAGAAATGAGAATCACCAGTTTTTTTATGAAAATTATAAAAGGGATTTATATTTGGTAAAATGAGCATCAATTAATAAAATAATAGTTGAATTTGTATGTTTGCAATTATTTGTCTTAATTTATTTATGTTTAGTTACATGTAGCCGATTTTTCTGTTAATCTGGTCTGATATAATAAATAAAACAACAGAGAGTTTTTTAAAGTCCTTGATAGCAGTGCTTATTCTCTGATTAAGGCATGGGAGCAGCTTTTGGATTAAATGGTTTCAATAAATGACATTTTTGTTTGTCAACAACATCTTTTAGCCAATTATTTCAGCTTCAGTATAGTAAAAATGGTTTTACGGCACCAGGAAGAGTAGAATAAAAGCAAAAGTTTCATCAATTAAAACAAAGTTTTGAAGACAAAGATGAGACACATTTTTTTAATTAAAATGACTAAAAACTACACTATCTGCAAACTTTACAAGCACTCGTATAGAAGCGATGATGCAACACATACATAGATGCAATTCTTAAATTAACATATCAGATGTACATGCTTTGAGCATACAGAGAGCTGAAGAGAGCAAAATGACTTTACAGGGTGAAAAAAGGGATTTCTTTTGAAAAGAAACAAAATTCATGTAAATTGTGCTCTTTAAGGAAATATACAAAATACAGTTTACTTGTACAGTTTGGCTTACTTTTGCAACAACATTAAATTACATCCAGGCATGAGTAATTTGACACCTGATGAACACACAAGGCAGTTTTTTAAAAACATCTTTGGGTTTTCTAGCTGCATGATTTTCATTTGAATAGATTCAGGTTTTTAACCAGGCTTCAGAGGAAGTAAGGAATCTAAACATGCTTTTTCCTCTCAAAGAAAGGGGAGAAGGAATGAGACGCGGACAGGAATACGGTTTATAAAACATCTTGCATACGTTTAGTTTACCTGAGCTGCAAACATTAGCTTCTTTGGATCAGTTGTCACTTTTGAATCAAACCTGAATTTTAGCAAGTTAACAGCCGTCCATCAGAAACGTTAATGCAGACGTTCTGGCTGAACCAAGAGAGGCAGAATCACGGCCACAAAGGCTTCAAAGCACTCGGTGACTAATCGCAACAAAAGGGTTCGTGCAGCACAAAACAGTTATTTTCTTTTTGTTTTTTTGCACAACTGCCCTCGGTGTTGGTAAAAAGAGACCCCACTGGACCCCGCCTCATCCCTCTAGGATAGTGGGAATGTGCAGACACACCTTTTGGAATATGCATGTGTGTGTGTAACTTTGCCAGGGATCCAGCAAAACAACACTTGAAAGCGTTTGTGCAGGAATATGTCACATTTCATCCCGCACTTTCACACAACCAAGCAGTAACCTAACAAATGGAAATGCAAGTCATAAAATAGTGCAAAAAAATGAACAAATGGCTTATTTTTGGCGCAAGAAGGCAATTTGGGAATTGCTTAAAAGATTTAGGCACCACAGCGTCTCACTGACAGAATCTTTTGGGCATTTTTTTGGAATAAAAAAAGTTTTAGTGCATCAAAGCTACATTGGAAGGCAAAAATAATTACATTAAAGGTTTGTTTTTCATAATTTAGTAGCAATATATTACACAAATTCCAAATTCATACAACAAAACATGGTATATAGACAGTTTATATATTCATGTAAAAAAAAAAGGAAAAGTAAAGAGAAATGCTTAAGGATTTGGGGTGTATGCCTACATTTCCCCAAAATTTGGCTCAAATAAATATCAAAGTTAAACCACGTTATCCAGTAACAAAACATCAGGCTTGGATTTTTCTTTAGAAAAGAGATAAAAGTAAAGAGAGGAAAACAACAGGACTCCAACAGATAAACCTTCCTTTTTGTTTTGGACATTCCTAAAATACCAGCTATTGTCCCGTTGATTAAAGAAACAGCAGAAGATGGTTAATTTTTAAACCTGTGACTAATAAAATGCTTTATTTCTACGTAATGCAGCAGTTGTATTGAGGCATCCTCTAAAGCACCAAAGGCTAATGTCTCTGTTTGGATAATAAATAGACGATAATGTTCTCGGAGCACAGGAAACGGCCCTGGATGTAGCTGATGCAGCATGTCATCAACAGTGAACGCTTAAAGGGACGGAGCGAGCGAGTGAGCGAGCGCTACAGCAGTGCAGCTGTGAGGAGTCCCAGACGACCAGTTTGACTTCCACCTGCCAGCTCTCGTTGGGCTGTTTTGTTTAATGTCTGCTGTGGTTTCTCAGTTCATCGGTTGTCCTGATTGTTTGAACCTCCTCCTCTGTTGTTCTTTCGTGAGTGTCTGTCCACAGACGGATCCTGAAAGGCCGCGACGGCCTCCTGCCCCTATTTACAATCTCTGCTTGACTCGCTGTGGCTTTGGGAGGCCAGGTTTCAGCGCAGAGCAGGAGTTTGTTCAAAGAAAACTGCATAAAAATCTTGGCGATTAAGCAAATGGTGTCTTTAAAGCAAACGTTGGCGGGAAAAAGGACAAACATGCATCTTTTTGAGCTTTTTTGGGTTTCTTTCAGTTTTCAGCCTCTTTGTTCATTGTTCTCTTCACTTTTCTGCCCCCTCCTCTCTCATTTAGCTGTCTGCCAGTCAGTATGGCCTCCAGACGGACTCATCTAAGCGACCCGATGCGCTCATGGCCGTTGGGGAGTTGCTGTGGCTGCCGTCGGCCTCCACCCCCTCGCTCTGGGCGTTCAGGCCAGGATTCATCAGGCTGTTCCCTCCAACGCCTCCAGCCCCCGAGCAGGACAGCAGGCGGGTCGGGGAGCGCTCGCCTCCTGTGTTTCCCGGCGCCACCATGGAGAACTGGTAGGATCCAGATCCAGTGCCGTAATAAAGGTAAGAGTTGGACTGGAAGTTTTGGGATTGGTTGTTTGAATAGGGCGGGGGCAGGTAGGTGTGGTATCTAGAAGAAGTGGACATGCTCAGGCCGCTGATGCCGGTGCTGGAGGTGTTGGCAGAGTAAGGGAAAGCCCCGGGGTAGTGCATGCGGGGGTCTGAGAAGCGGGGGTCGGTCAGTGGTGACAGAGTTGGAAAGGAGGTCCGCTGAGGGAAGAGTTCTGTAGTTCCTGCTGGACACACAGACATAAACACTGGGTTAGAGGTGGCAGATGCTGCTGCAGCAACAAAATCAGGAAAAATTCACCCAAATTTTCTCAACATTCCAATTCTGCTCTCAGATTTCCTCCGATGTGCTGTTTCACAGGAACGTTTGCTCCACAGTAATGAATCGAGACATTTTGTTGGCTCGGTGACCTCATCAAGCTTTGACAGCACATCATCCCACAGCCCCATGCACAAGACCCCCCCCCCCAACACACACACACACACACACACACACACATTCCTCCTACCAGTCCCCCAAAAAACGAAATCAGCATACAACTTCTCTGTCTTCCTCAGAGTAACAAAAAGAGGAGGGGCGTGTGCGTAAACAGTGACGGCCGGTTGTGCAACATCATGGATCATAGTTGGGTGACGTAAGCAGACAGCTGCAATCACAGGTAGTTGGTGAAAGAAGGAACCTAAAAGCTTCCATTTATTCAGTGTGGCTGCAAAAGATCAACCTTTCTGCAGGGCTTGAGGAAGCTGTTGGTGTAATTTTCTGTTTGTGGAGGTGGAAAGCTGTCCTTTCTTAGTTTGTCCTTCCCCTCAATCATCCTAAATCATTTTGCACATAACACTTAAAAGAAAGGGACATGGCTGGTTGTCAAGATGAGACAGACCGCAGACATCCTAAATGTCATCAAACATTCTCCTTCACCTGCGTTCTACCCTCACACACCTCAGTTTATGCATGTCTCTTTGCTCGGATGTGGCTCCCTTCGGGTCCTAAAGGCGCACGTGACTCGTAGCGTAAAGTAAGGATTTGGATGGCGAGGAGAAGAGAGCTTGTATTTATGAAGTGACAGGCGCTTGCATGCCACAGCCCTGAGGGGGGCGAGAATGCCGAAGTTGCGTGCCACAGTGTTGTTGAAATCGCTTTTCCCCACGTCTGAAGAACTGGGTCCATTTTCAGCCACGACTAAAAAACAATCATTGCAATTTCCACGGCCTCTGCAAAGTTTCTTTTCTTAACAGCACTTTTCTGCAGTTGGATTTCCTTTTCTTTTGGAGAGGAGGGAGGTTGTTAGTGGTGTGTGTGTGTGTGCGGGGGGGGGGGGGGGGGGTCTTTTTCCAGAGTCTACCAGGAACAGCAGTTCGGCTCCATATCTGATTTCACGCAAGGAAAATTCAAGCCATCAGCTGCTGTTGATTCGGGTGAAGTGGAGTCGGACTCCTATTCCCTACCGGACTCCCAGGAAGCCTTTGCTCCCTCTCTACGTGTGTTTGTCCCTACACCCCCCACCCCGCCCTGCCTGGTCTAAATTTAGGGCTTCAGGGTGGAGCAGGCGGAGGGGGGACGTGATGGCTCTGGCTGCTGCTGCAGCCCACCCTGCTCATGGTCTCCCGGTGATTGGAGTTGGTGGAAACGTGTCGGCTAAACTGCGGCGGGGACGGACTCCTGCGCTCTGTCAGGGGAAACTGGACCGGGCACTTATCACAACACCCTAATGGGCTTGTTCAGGCTCAGGCTCTTGGCCCAGAGCCAGGAGGTGTCTGCTACCACCTTTAGGGTCTCTGTAGTATAGTGGCTCCCTCTGGAGGAGAAGGCTGAACAAACTGTTGTGCAACTGAGAACAGGTCTGCTTTTTCTCCCCGCTTTAACCAAGACGCATACCTTCACTGTACCCCCACCCGGACGTTGCTGTTGTGGCTGTGGTAACAGCGCCGTGTCTTTGGCCGAGAGGGTCTTCCTGACCCAGCCTAGCTGCAGTTGGCTGTAACAGCGGCTCAAAACCACACATGATCTCCATTAGACTCATCTGAAACGTGTTGAGTAAATTGCAGGGACAGGAGAAGAGATGAAACCCAGAGGGCTCGCTGGCACGGCCCGCTGTCTGTGATGTTCCCCGTCTATGAAGTCGGTAGGTGGGAATCGGAGCTTTTATTGAGAACATTGTGTTTAAGCGCTCCTTCTTTCCTCTTCTGGCTCAGCAGCAAACCACCATGGACTTTATTTATTCAATCCAGGGAGGAATTTTGCTCCGAGAGGTCCACTAGTCCACAGTCAAGCGTGCAACCCAGACATGGCTGGAGGTTTGTCTCATTTGTTTACAGGAGAAACTGATTTTGGTTGTTACATAGGGCCAGGTTTGGGGCGATTGTGCACCACAGTACGTACGTGTACACACACGTGTCCGAATGCGGTGGCCGCCGATGGGAAGATGCAAATCCAGGCGCTCACCTGTGAAATGTTTACTCAAGCTTGATGCAAACTGTGACGGCCAGAGTTGAGGGAATGGTGTCTCAGGCAAATAGGTGGAGGGAAGCAAAGGGTGAGAGAAAGCTGCTAAATGTGGCAAAAAAAAGAGACTTGAAACAAAATCCTGAAGTAGAAACGAGGAGCAGGAAAAATACCAACTGGTTTGGGTGGTTCGAACAACGGATGCTGAAGAGATGACAACAGCGTGATGACGAGCAGATGGTAAAACACAACGTTTGGTCAGAGCTGCCGCTGCGCACAGCAAAGAATAGGAGACCCAAACGATTTCCAGGTGTTTATTTAAGCACCGAGCCGTGGGAGCCAGAGCGTCAAGTCCAATGCAAATGTTAATCACCTCTGCCCTTTGAGAGCACGGACAGCAGCCGCCGTGCCTCGTCCGCGTTAGCGCTCCATCACGACGGTTTTGCATGTTCTCAACTTGTGACACGCCGCGGTGGAGGAAATTTGTTATTTTAGAAAAAATCCAGATATTTTCCTAATGCATCAACAAGCAAGGTGACATGATTGCTACGTTTATTTGTTAAGTAAATCTTTTATCCCTGAGATCTGATTCTCCATCGTGAGCTTCCACGCTCACCCTGCGCTTATGGAAATGATTACAGCTCCATTCATGTGAGAGATTTGCTTTTTTTCAAACCATCACAGCTTTTGCAACTTTATTAATGGCGTGCTCGACGGCGAAGGCTGCGCTTAAAGCTTTGCGTCCAACAAAAACGTTCAGAAACGTCACGCAGTAAAGACCAAAGCTTTGTGTCTGAGTGAGTGTCTTTACAGTGTGAGTGGATGACTCAGCACGTCTGGTGTGGTGGGACGGATTAAAGTGAGAGGGGGCTGTAAAGACGGCAACAAAGACCCAAAATGCCAAGAGACAAATGAAAGAAAGACGGGAGTGGGAGGGAGGGATGGAGGAAAAGGAAAGCCGGGCAGGGTGGTGGTGTCTGAGGAATGTAATGGGATATAGTGCAGGCCTTTGGAGCTAAATCACACACGGCCTTCCCAGCTACTCTGTCAGCATTACTCCAGCGTTGCATGAATGAACTGTTTAATACGATATTAAAGCATTTCTGCAGGATCTGAGTCATTCTGACACCCTCTGCTTTAGTATAATGGTCTGAAAACGATTTAAAAAAATGATTTCCGTTAAATCGGATTTAGAAAACGTTTAAAGCCGTAGAGACACAAATAGAAAGGTGGCCGTTTCTCACCTGCCCACGGTCTCAGATCCTCCTCCACCTTGCAGGTCTTAAGAGCAGGGGTCTCGATCTGCTCCTGCCACAGAGCTGCAACAAAACACAGAAACAGACCGTGTAATCAAACGTGAAGGATTTTTGCTGTTGGAACCTTTAAAAAATAACTGTCATGACATGTGGTGGCATGGAGGTGTGTGTTCCTGTCATAAGGTTAGCCTCTGCTGACTGAGCAGCCATGACTGGGAAGAGAAGGGGCGGGTTTCTCACCACAGTGAGACCAGGCTTGGAAAAACATGCTTGACGGGTGCGTATGAGGTATTTTTGGTCGCTTCAGACGAGACTCTGGAGGAGGAGAGGTCTGCGAAGCGTAGGACGCTCGGCAGCTCGTCCAGCCGGACTGTCAGGAAGGGAAGAGAGGTCAAAGACCCACTGGCCCAACGCGTGGGACCCTGCTTCACACTCGACAGTCACACCGCAGCAGGCTCTCTGTTAACAGTTGGATGTTTGTTCAAAGTCTGAGACGGTGCATTTGCTACAAGACAACCAGCACGGAGCTCTGTGGACACGGGCGGTTTGAGCACATGTGTTTTTATCAAACGTACGTGGATTTTTTTTTTTTACTGGAAAGACAAAAACCTGCTTGTAACCGTTTGTGTGTGCTTTTATGGTGTTCTATTTCTAATGACAGGAGCAATCAGCCGTGTAGCCTGCCCTCAACTTCCCTTGTTGAGATACCGCAATATAGTAAACTCCCAGCCACTCACCGTGGCAATTAGGACTCAGAAAGATGCCAAAGGCAGAGGAAGGGGGGTTTCACGTAGAGCCACACTGGACTCGGCTTGTGTAAGATCTTTGCTTCCCCTGGAGCTCCTCCACTTCCTTTGCAAATGTCCAAAACAGCACTCAGTCACCGAGAGGTCCCGCGCTGCGCCTCACAATGGCAAATTCTTACGCATAAATGGCCTTATTCAGAAAATCTTGCAAGCAGCTGGTGCGATTCGCTCAAGAAAATAAACATTTCCTTCAAATATTTTGATTGGCAAGCTGACAACATCAATACCAGAGGCACAGATTACCTCTGTTAATAGGAGGACCGGCCTCCTGGGTGGAGCTGAGGACGTGGGGAATGCATGGGTTGGAAATGGGAAGAAGTGGCGACTGCGTCACCTGAAGCTGGTTCCAGCGTAGGAGGAAAACACAAACAAGACACATGCTTTGCTTTTGAAGTGTATCGCAGATGAAAGAAGGCTGGGATGATGCTTGAGCCAAGATGGCGTCCCATTCTCGTGACTCCGGCCGGATCTAGCAACGCCTCTGAGACATGTAATGCGCCTGCCGTAATGAAGCGTGTCATTGAGACACAGTGAATGCCGGTCCTTGTGCTGGCTTCCTGTCTCGCTCAGGCCTTAGGCGTCGCAAAGGGAGAGAATGTGGGAGAAAGCTAGGAAGAGCGAAAGAAAGACGCCAGCGAGGGAAGGAGAGAGAAAAGAGAGCGTGTTGGAGAGGGCAGGCAGGAACACGGCCTTGGCCCAGCAATGTGGGACATTTGATACGTCTTTTGAGCCCTCACTTATAACGCGAGCAAAAACAAACACGGGCTGAAAAATCCTATGTTCTCTTTGAGCAATGGTCGTCCGCCCGCCCTTCCCCTCTTCCCAGACTCAATAGTCTGTTCATGGCACACATGTAGTTTCTGTAATTGCTGAAATGTAAAACTCAGCCGGACTCTGATGTGAAATTATAACTTACACAAACAGTCGAGTCTGTTTAAAAAAAAAAAAAAAAAAAAAAGAGAGAAATCTTGCTCTCACTTCTCTTTTTCTTTGTTTTTCACCAATGAGGTGGCTTCAAACGATCCTTTTTTTGTGTTTAAAAACAGAAACATTTTTAGTTTAAATGATTCATCTTGGCATCTTGGAAGGAGACTAACCACAAGTGAAGCTTTCAGGCACCATGACAAATAAACTCTGTGGTGGCCGCTGGCATATAATGTAAATAGCGCAGAAGTAAAACAGCGTCTTTTAAAAGCCGCTCCAGATTCCTCCTCCTTTTGGTCGTATTTAACGCTGAGCTTCCTGCGTCGGTTTGGCAGGAATCAGAATGAAGCTCCTCCAAACGTCCACGCTGCCACTACCCGACGCCGCTAATTTCCTGTCTTGCTTTAGCTTCTAATTGGCTGATCATGTCACTCTGGATGTGTGAATTAGTGTCCGCCTCTCAGCTGCCGCCTCAAACCTGCGGGTCTGGCCAGCCTGTTTATGTGGAGTAAACAGTGTGGTTGCTGTGGACGAGGCGGTGGGGCGCTTGGACTTTCAGTCCTACATGAAGATACCGAGCAGGACTGCCAGGCACAGCTGCAGCAGATGTGTGCCAGTTGAGTTAAAAAAAACCGAGGTGAAAGCATTTGTATTAAGTGAAATCTTCGTCACACACTTTTAACCCTCAAAGCACTCCATGCTTGCTTCTGATACCACCTTAAAGGTGCCAGGGCTTTCTGTTTGGATGATTAAATTGGTGCTTTATTCCCTCCTTTGCTGCAAAAACACATTAAGAGTCTCGCAGAAATCGTTTTTATCACAGTTGAAAACTGTTATCTGAGCCTCAGTAAAGTAAATTAAACTTGGCCCAGGAGCGCAGATAAACGGCCAATCCCGTAATGTCCTACAGTGGGAAGATTGGTTTTCTCCAGCCACTTTGCATGGATATGCATATTAAATTGGCTTCATGGCTAGCTGGCCTTCATTTTTTTATGTTCCTAGTACATCCTGGAACATTACATGTGTGCTCCGAAAACCTTTATTACTGTTTTCTTCTCGTCCAGCATAAACAACAGATCAGGCCAGTGTTGGAAGTAGCTCAGGCTAGCGTTAGCAGTAGCTCAAGCTAGCAATAACGGTAAAACAGGCCAATGTTAGCAGTAGCTTGCATTCACAGCTGTTAATGCTATCCCAAGCTACTGCTAATATTAGCCTTGGCCTGATCTACTAGAGTAGTTAGCAGTAGCTCGGGCTAACGTTAGGAGTAGCTCTGGCTAGTTTTGTTCTGCGGTTAGCATTACAGCCACCAAATTTTCTGTTGCTGAACCACTAAAGTAGGTCGAGACATGCAAATTTAAGGCGGTTTGTCTCTAAACTTATGATGTAACCAACTCTTCCCGGTCTGAACTATTTCTCAGCAGCCATTACAACATTATGAGTTTAAATAGGAAAGCATGTCGGAGACGGCACCGAGTTTTTAATGCTGCAGAAACACCCCCAAGCTGCCTTTCTTCAACAACAAGTTAAATGTGGTGGTTTTAACTTTTAGGACGGCTTCAAAGTTAAAAGCAGGTCTTTCTTCTCTGCAGCCTGTTAGAGGTTTTGCCAGGAGCTTGTTGAGTTTTGTTTGCTGGATAAACGCAGAACTGAAACCTGTTTCCCGCCCTTTTGAGGTGAATCACATCTTCAGTCCGTCTCCTGCTGGACTTCAGACTCAAAAACACCCGTGGATACACTGAAATGCTGTTAAAGTCGGATGTTAAACAACGAGCTACACTCTAAGGAGTAAAAACAAAACAAAAAAAAAAAGCCACCCACTGTAGTATAGACACACATATCGCTTGAGGTCTTCAAAACCAGAAAAACTATTTAGTGCTTGATTGTCTGAGTGTCAGATTTGCTTCACTGCATTAAGTGAACCACACACACACATACCCTCCACCCTAGCTGAGAATCATTCCACATGACTAGCAGGCTTACCTGTGGCCACCGCTGAACAAAAACAAGCAGCGAATGTAGCGTCTGCCAGCGTGCAGGATTCCTGTCACTGCATGCACTGTAATGAGCTCTTAATTACCCCGTCTGTCTCGGGCGCTCACAGAAAACTTGCAACGCCACTGCTCAAACATGTGTGTGTGTGTGAGAAAGACGGTGTGTGTGTTTTCCTTTTATTGTCAGCGTGTCCGTGGTGCAATTTTGTGTGATTTAAGATTTCGTCGTAGTGCAGATGTCTGAAGACGCGTCTTGTTGACAACAGAGCAGACGCTATTTCACAGCTCAGACAACAAAATGAAGCAAGAGGGTTTTGGTTAGAGGTGACATGACATTTTTTTTTTCACATTATCTGAGGGGGATGTCAGATGATGGAAAACATCTTTTGTAAGAGCAAGGCGAGGAATCCATTTAATTATAATGTGTTGATGGGCAATCTATCAACCGGCAAAGCTCAAACAAACAGGCCCTGAGATTTAAAGTATCTGCAAGAGCACAGCAGCATCTGGCAAGGCTTTAAAAAGCCGAGACGTGTGTGCTGTTGATATGTAAACACCTCTCTGTGTCTCCGAGTGGGATTTATTACAACAAGTCTATTTTTGTTTGAGCTTTGCTTCTAATTCTGCCGTCTTGTTGTCTGGATGCTGCTCAGACTCTGCTGCGCACAAACTGCTCTGTTATTTAATTATTTTACCACTCCTGCCCTGCGGTACGCCGTCACAACGCTAATACTACAGATTAAGGTGTGTGGTTTTTATAGCCCTTCCCCTCCTCTGCCTCAAACACACACACATACACACACACACTCCTTATAGACAGCCTGCAGTCACTAGCAGCTGTACGCTCAAGGCCTCTTAATGTCTCTGACACTTCCAGCTGATGTTAACATGTTGTGTCGGCTCTCCGTGCGTGCATGTGTTGCAACGCTTCAGCTCTTTGAAGACGGGAAAGCCTCTGATGCTCTAATTCCCGCCCTAATCCCGGTCGAGGCTCCTCGTCTGCTGTCTGGACCGTGTCTGTACACTTTTCCCCGATGATCGAAGCGTTCCCCTCATGTTCAAGGCTGCAGGGGGGCTTTTTGTTGGCAGACAACCTCTACAGCTTCTGCCAAACTCTGAGCCATACGAAAATTATCATCACAGTGGACGTATTGTGTTGAACCTTCATCGTTTCTAAAATGGACGACGTGTTTTTAGTTTAGTACGAACCGTGCAAGGGAGCAAAATCGGCATCAACAGAAAGTAAGGACATGGTTGGGGGGGGGGGCGGGGGGGCGGGGGGGGCAGAGTGAAAGACCCAGTGTTCCCAGCAGTCAGCTGTTAGATAGGCCCAAACTGGTGACTCAGCGCTGGCTAAGCGAAGCACAAGGCCAAACAGAGGATGGCTGCGCCCACGCATGGCCTGACGCTCCCAAACAAGCCCTCCTGTATGCAGATACACGCTCTCGCAAAGGTAATGAGGACCATTAGCGCGTTTCTAAACTGCAGAGTGGGCGGGAGGAGAGAGAGTGTGTTCATGCTTCCAGATATCTTGTTGAATACGCTCTGACACACCGTGATGGGGAGTGAATACTCATCCTCACCCTCGCCGTCACCCACGCAGCTGTTCACAGCACACACACACACGAGTAAAAACACGGCCTTCCCCCTCCATCACACCACCTCAGAATCAGTCACTGCCCCCCCCCCCTTTCCTCCCACATTTGACCCGTCTGAGAGTGACGTGACTGCCAAGGTAGCAGGCGGCTGTGAGATTCCTGAGGTTGTAATGTGAGGTGAGCGGGGGCCACAGCTCGGCTGGCGGCGCTCGTCGTGCCACCTGGCAAGGGATTCTGCCCTTTCGAGGTGCAGAGCCCAACACTCGCCAACGCAGTTTATCCAGGGACAAAACGGACATGAACTTTCTTCTCCTACAGCAGATAATGGCTCTCAGATTAGTAAACAGTCTTAAGATGATTGACATATTTGTGGTACACTTTCCTTCGGGCCAAACAAAGCTGCTGAGTTGGTGTATAGTGCGGTTTTTCACCTTGTGTGGTGCCGAGGTGTGTTTGGTGAAGCTGGCGTGGATTGTTGTTCACCGGGCCTATCCGAATGGTCCGCTGGTAGCGCTCGATTTCTGACAGCCTGTCGGAGAACTGCATCTTCTGGGGGTCTTCCATCTTCACTCGGTGCCCTAAAAGATCAGAAAAAAGCAGATGAAAAGTAAAGAACATGCAAATATAATGACTTTTTATTACTCACAGAAACATGGCTTCAATAAAACAAATGTATTTATTCATTTAGTTTAAAATGTGTTCATGAAGTCCCACCGGTCCTAAACGACTTGGTGAAATAAACAAAAAGCTCGGAGCTCAAAAAGGTGAAAGTTGAGATAAAGTTAGTTCCAAAGTCCCATTGACACGGGATAGAAGTATGTAATCAGGAAGCCATTGCTGCCGTGTTTTCAGCTTCCAAACACAAAAATATTATTAGAATGTCAGCAGACCTTGAAATACATTGGCTAGACACTAAATGTTGCCCAAGCTGCACCTGCTGCCACGTCACCCCGCAGATAACGATAGCATAAGTGGTTGAAAATAATTGCTTGAGGAATGTTGTTTTCCCTGCAACCGAAGTCTAATGAAGTGTGAATTACTTCATCGGGCGACTCGGAGACGTGATGATGCCGAGAGATCCTTATCGTGTCGCCTTGCTTTCTATCTTTCTTTCTTTATAGAAATGGAGGCAGTGGCTATATCTGCCCCCCTCCTACACACACACACACACACACACACACACACACACACGCACGCACGCACGCACACACACACAAAAGCACAGATTCAGCCCCGACTGACACAGCTCTTACTCACAAGGAAACACCCAGACTAAGCTACCAGACCTTATTGTCATCAGTCTTGAAACACAACACAAGGAGAAAAACACGAAGAGTTTATGAGAAAATCGAGAAAACGGACCGACACACTTAGTGCTCTTATCGCTTTGCGGTTCGGTTCAGGGTAATGGTTAAAAAAAAAGTGATTGTGCCTTTCATGTAGACACACATGTGTGTAAGCACGTGCTTTACATGTGAACACACCTTCAGACGTGAGTGCGGATGCCTCTAATGGGAGGAAGAGATTTTAATGTAACTATCAATGCACCAAAACTGCGCGTCGACCAGCATGTATACATTCTGTGGTTTTCTCCCTGGCATCTCAACAGAGCAGCCTAATGTGAAGTAATGGCTGGATTTGAATATTTTATCACTATATAAAGGGGGCAAGGCAGACGGACCAATATGGATTTTGCCCGTCCTTTCTCTCCACTGACCCATGGGCAATATATCTTGGCTGTGATGCTGACCCATGGGTAAAGTTTCCTCCTGTTTACCGCTCCGTCCATTTGTTTGTGCCCACCGCCTCTCTTCCATCTTCTCTATAAACCATATAGAATTATCCCCCCGCCTCCCCGTGACACGCGTGCACAGACACACTCGTTTCCGTTTGTTCACGGTTAGGGTTTTCCGTGTGTGATAAAAACTCTGTTTAGATTTTAAAATGCACCTCTGTTAGTTTTCCTGAACACCATGACACCAAAAAGAGGAAACAGAGAATGTTTTTGTGATTTCCACCCTCTGGATTTTCACTCTGAGCAATGCCGTTACTCAAGAATACATCCTGGACAGTCCAACACCCCCACACACACATTCTCTGTGATATCTCTTTATTTAAACGGCAATGGAAGGAACGAAGGCCGAGCGCTTTCTGCCTCACACACACACTCAAACGGCGCCCGCGTAGACACTGCGGCTACTGTCTGCTCCAGGCCAAAGCAGGCAGGGCCGGCCAAGGGTAGCAGCCCTCTGAATATATAAATATAGCCCCTATATGTGTCCTTGTGTAGTTATTAAGAGATTTACACCACCTCAAACGGCTGAGGTCAGGGAAACGATACATCCCACTGCTCTGGTCGGAAAAAAAGAGGAAAAGGCGCACGCCGCAGAGAGAGAGAGAGAATTAGTCCACTTTTTCTGAATCCAGCGGTGGTCTGGGATGAATTGGCTCTTTAGAGATGAAAGTAATCATTAAACACACACACACACACACACACACACATTCAGTGGCCCATTAGCTAGCAGAGACACACAGTGTAGAGACACACTCTTTGTAGCTGCCAGAAGGGTGTGTGTGTGTGTGTGTGTGTGTGTGTGTGTGTGTGTGTGTGTGTGTGTGTGTGTGTGTGTGTGTGTGTGTGTGTGTGTGTGTGTGTGTGTGTGTGTGTGTGTGTGTGTGTGTGTGTGTGTGTGTGTGTGTGTGTGTGTGTGTGTGTGTGTGTGTGTGTGTGTGTGTGTGTGTGTGTGTGTGTGTGTGTGTGTGTGTGTGTGTGTGTGTGTGTGTGTGTGTGTGTGTGTGTGTGTGTGTGTGTGTGTGTGTGTGTGTGTGTGTGTGTGTGTGTGTGTGTGTGTGTGTGTGTGTGTGTGTGTGTGTGTGTGTGTGTGTGTGTGTGTGTGTGTGTGTGTGTGTGTGTGTGTGTGTGTGTGTGTGTGTGTGTGTGTGTGTGTGTGTGTGTGTGTGTGTGTGTGTGTGTGTGTGTGCTAGTGCTATATAAGCATCATTAGAACTAGACCTGGAGTCCATTAACCCAGGACCTGCTGTTAACACCACTAATCAACAAGGGGGAGAAACTTAAAACCCTTTTCCTGTTTTTTCTCTATTTTTAAAAACGTTTAATTTATTATTGCATTAATCCTTCCATCCTTTTGCCTTTTTGTCTTCTTTCTTTAAATATTCTGCCAATAAATAAACGCCTCATCCAGTTAAACTTTGTATTAACAAACATTTCTGCCAGTCTACCCCGGCTGCAGCCGCGCGGCGTTGGGCCCGACCGCCAGCGTTTGACTGCAGGGCCGAGGGCCAGAGGGGTGCAGAAGCACCACGCCAGCCCCTTTTCCGAGGGGTTTGGTGGTTAGATGAATATTTTATGTGCACTTAGGAGAGAATGTCCTAGTTTTTTTTCTCTGTATGATATCATAACCACAAAATAGTGCTGGGAGATGGGAGCCAATGCACATATGAGGCCTAAACAGCAGCGCTCAATATGCATCCAGAGCTGAAAATGGACAACAAGGCTTGTAGATTTACTAGCCTCCTCTCAGGGTAGTGGTCGCATCAACTGAAAGCATTATGGAAGTGTATGAAGGATAAATAAAATGCTTGATATAAAATGTCGGGTATTAACGATGTACTGAGATGAAGAAATGGGTGTGCCGTTCTCAGCCCTGCTTTGTTTTCCTGCATGTAAGAGAGAGTGTGTGTGTGTGTGTGTGTGTGTGTGTGTGTGTGTGTGTGTGTTTTATTTCCTCATAGTTTCTTGTATGATTGCTGCAGAGAAACCCAACAAAGTAGCTTTGTTTTTCTTTTGAATGCAGGTGAAGTGAAAGTGATGTGAAGTTTTATTTTTCATGAGCTTGATGCTCTAAGAGGATCCATCGCTCCACAAAGCCCAACAGGATGGCTGATCCGTCACCCGTTCTCATCCTCTCTGCTCATTTCCACTAAATTACAGAAAACCCCCTTTGAGGAAACACCGAAAGCATGCCTTTTTGTGTGTGTGTGTGTACGTGCGTGCGCGTGTGTGTGTGTGCATGTGTGTGTGACATTATCTGAGCAGCAAAGGGCAAGTCGTGCTTTGGCTCCAAACCAAATCTGTACTGAATGTATTTGAAGTGTAAATATTTGTATTCACTATATAAATGGAGTTGATAGGACCTCCGATAACATGAAAATTCATGTGGGCTGCACGCATCACACTTTGCACCAAAAGCTATGTCTGGACCGAGAAGTCTGAGGTATGTGTGGTATAGGATTACATACAAAAACTGTTCATGCTGCTCAGGAAACATGCCAAGTCTAATAGAAAAGCTCAGAAAATGGCAGCCGGCTCACATTTTTCACTTCTGTACCAGCGAGTGTTTAATAATTGAACCTTAGTCTGTTTTGCAGGTCAGGAAAGCCCTGCTTGATGTGGAATAGTACTGAAAGTTAAACGTATAAAAGCAAGCAAGAGCTCTGCACCCTCTTATCTGTCTTTGCGGCACGATGTGGGGCGACAGTTGAACACACGCTGCACTGGGGCCTACTTTCCCCAGTGCAAACTTCCGTTTGCCCTCAACAGACACAGAGGGCGTTTCAACATCTGTTGAGCAAAGCCGTGAACACCTGTCTTCCTCTTCCTCCTCTCTGGCGGACCTGAACCCCTCTTGCTGCGCTCTCGTTCCCCCCTCGCCTCTTTTCCGCCACGTTTTCTCGTACTTCCCCTTTTGTTCTATTACGGGCGCCGGCTCGATTAAAAACACTCATCTCTGTGGCGCTCTGTTTGGCCCCAACCCCTTCCAAGGCCACCAATCACACCGTGGACTATTTACGGTGAAGCGAATCAAAGTTCTTGTTTTTGAGGCTGACCCTGAGGGATGTGGGTTTCACCCTTGGTTGGTGATTGTGGCTGTCTCGTCTGGGGCCTAAATGAGACCGTCCTTACCACACGCAGACATCACACTGCTTTAAATCCATTTACACGGCACACTTTCAGTATGAATGCATCAACCTCTGTCACCATATTATTATCACGGATGGAATGCACACAACATTTACGTGAGAGGAAGCTTCTATCACAAAGAGCAGCCTGAAGGCAGCGGCGACTGCAAGGCGGGAGAAACACTGCAGAAGCATTATTTGGTCTTTCTGAGGGAGGTCAACAAAGTTTTTTATCTAGAGTTCACCCTCGATGGCCGGCCGCAGCCGGGGGAGTCGTCTGGTCCCTCAGGCAGATGTGCAGCCCGTCTCCGGGGACATCAGCGGTGTGAAAATCCCCCTCGCAGGCCTGAAAACAAGCTGCTCACAGCGGAAGTTGCTTCATGAGACTGTTTGAGCAAAGAGCGCAGCCTTCCTTTTCTGATAAGAGGTGTGTGTGTGTGTGTGTGTGTGTGTGTGTGTGTGTGTGTGTGTGTGTGTGTGTGTGTGTGTGTGTGTGTGTGTGTGTGTGTGTGTGTGTGTGTGTGTGTGTGTGTGTGTGTGTGTGTGTGTGTGTGTGTGTGTGTGTGTGTGTGTGTGTGTGTGTGTGTGTGTGTGTGTGTGTGTGTGTGTGTGTGTGTGTGTGTGTGTGTGTGTGTGTGTGTGTGTGTGTGTGTGTGTG